AAAGCCAGGGCCTCTAAAATAAGGAATAATTGAGGCTGGAAGGGACCTCAGAAGATCATCTGGTTTGAGACACCTTAAAAGCCAGGTTTGAACATCCCCCTCCTTGTCCTCAGAGTCTGAGCCGCCAATGCAGAGGAAATGGAAACCCCATGCAAGCCAAGGAGCACTTGAGCTGGTGTAGCCCTGCTGAGATCACACAGCTAAGAAGACAGCATAATGGGAAAATCCAGCAACATCAGGTAGTAGCAGAGGGCCACAGAAAAGATAGAGTAATCTGAGGGAAAGACCAGCAAAACCAGTGTGGGACAGAGAGAGAAGATGTTTGCTTCCTTTGCTGCTAAGATGGAGGCAGGAAGGGTAGTGTGGAGGCATTTCTCCTTTCTCCCAGTTTGCTGCACATAGAAAGGAGCCACCTCTGGACACCAAGCAGGCAAAGTAAGAGTCAAGGTTGCTGCAGTTGGAAGAAGGAGCAGAGTCTTGGCTCCACCCTGCCTGCACAGTCCTTCCTTCTCAGGCCTTGAAAGGACGGGAGGGAAAGGGTAACCCTCATTTCCTCTCTAGGCCAGATGGGGGAAGGACTCACCAGGTCTCGCCTCCACCCTGTCACTAATATCAAATAATAATAGTATTTAGCATTTCCATAATTACCTTCGCACTCTGATATCACAGACACAGCTGAATTGGAAGTAATTAAGATCATTATAATGAGCTTCAGTGGATCCTTTCAGTCAGAGGCATTATTTAGCCAGTCCTCATTTTTGCGGTTACATCTGAATAAGCTCTTTGCACTGAGGTGAGGTTCGCCAATGAGACACTTCGGCATAAAGGCAGTCTCCTACTTGCAAAGGCAGAAGAAGTGTCATTATGCATCATGTTTCACCAGACTTCAAAATGCCAAGGGAGGTAAGTCAGGTTACAGCTCACTTGTAAGAGCTGCAAAACTCTTCCCATGGACAGGCACTTGGGGAACGTCTGCCATGACCCCCTGCTTACAGAAGCTGCAATTCTAGAGGCCCTCAATGATCACTACAAGCAGCCACCACAACCTCTCACTGTAGGTGTCAATTCAGCAAGAATTCTTATTCAAGGGGAGGGCGCAGAAAGCCAGAAGCTCTGAGAGCACCTTGCACCAGGAACAGGTTGCTGGACTGAGCACTGCTGGGGCCAGTGAGCTCCAGAACAGAGATCTGCTGGTCCTGGATCTACTTGTAGCCTCACTGAAGACTTCTTCCTTTGGCCTTTCACTAAGAATAAATTAAGTACCCCTTTAATTGCGGTTACTTCAGTTCTCTGTTCATAAGTGCAAATAAAGGCACTTATTTTTCCCATTTTTATTTACCCTTTATGTTTGGGCTGTGTATCCCTTGGGAATCCACAGCCCAAACATCAAGGGCTTCTAGGTATACTTCTCTTATTAATAACAAAACCAATGTGCTGCTTTTGTCACTGAAGAAGGAGGAAATGTAGGCACATGGAACAAACACTTGTATTGCAATTTCTTATGTTTAAAAAAAGAACAACAAGGTAATAGAGTGTACTACTTTGACCAAGAGCAAAGGTAAAATCACAGCAGCTGACTCAGTGTAACAGAAAGAACTTAATAGAGTTGGCAACATTTCAACCTGCTTTCTTGGGAACTTGAACATGGGAATGTAGTATAAGTAGCATAACATATCCAAAGCACTGCTTGAATGAAAAAAAAAGTTAGTTTTGGGCAAAAGAGTTATTTCCAGCAGCAAGAAAGTTCTTCCAGCAAAGCATGAGTATAAACTTGTGTTTATTTCTCGGTGTTCAGCTACTGTCAACATTACAAATAAACCCAACCAAGGCAGAGAATCTAAGCCTGTGCTACTGGCCCCAAATACAGCTGAAACACTCCCCTAATGTGTTTGTGACCTAACCGTTCAGTCCATCCTCCAGAAACAGGTCAAAATGGAAGACTTGGACAAAACCCAAACAAGCTTCAGTGCAGTTTAGAAATACAGTTAAGACACAAAGCTGTTTCTCTACTTCAAGACAAACTGCCTGTTACAAAAAACATTGAGGAGCAATGACATTTCCTGAGGTCTGGCTGTATCTGCAGTGGAAAGGAGTTTCCCATGCTGTTTCCTTAATTAGCACAAACATGCTGACAATCTTCTCCATGCTGAAATCAAGCCATAGGTCACTAAAAAGTTGATCTATCTATGCATCCAAATCCACCACATGCTGAGCCAACATGTTTCAATGCCGTAATCAGTACCCAGATTATAACATGGCTTTGTCATGCATACCTTTGCTGAAACAAACTTGGATGTCCCAATATGAAACCTATTTGTCCTGCAGTCAGCATATAGGAAATGTGCCAATATATAAATTCAGTGTTTTGCAAGTGCTAGGATTGTGTGCTGGCATTTACTGGATCATTTTGACCATCACATGAATTTATAAATACGACCGGTTGAATTAGAGAAATAACATGATCTGAAGGCCAGATTCTAAGCTTGTTTAAACTGAAATAAACAGTAATTTACTCTGGTTTCACCATGCAGAGATCAAGGTCACGGTTATCTCTATACACAGTTTAGTCCTTGTCAACAGCACGTGATATAATACAATCATGCGGCAGCCGAACAGAAAAGACAGCATGCCAATACAATAAATATTGTAGTCCCAGCCCTGGTGAGAAGTTCAGCAACCTTATGACAGGTACCATTTAAGTGTGTGAACCTGAGACTTGTTCCTCGGACAATTTTTGCTTTGTTGGTAGTGCAGCTGGCAGGACTAACTGTAAAAGCAATTTATGCCTGGCCAGCTCCTGGCCAGCTCATAGCTAACTCTAAGTAAAAGCTGTGATAGCTAAGCTGTTCCCTCCTGGCCAAGCAGCCCATTTTCTGTGACCGGTTCAGTAAGGTTGCTGCCTGCTGTGTGGACAGCACACTGCAACGTGCCGGTGTGCCAGGTCTGATCCTTTCTCCCACTTTTCAGTTGTCCCTATATTAGTGCATCCCACAGTATGCTGCACCATGGGCTGCTGCTCTCAGTAGGCTTATTCCAGGAATTCACCTCCATCGTTACTTGTCTATGGCGTCACCGCCCGCATTTTCCCAGAATCACTTGGCACCACTGGGGCTGGACAGCATGGCAGGTATCCCTGCCAGCATAGCTGCTGCTTGGAAAATCTGCCCTGTGGACGTAAGTTGAGCATCTCACTGGTTACCGGCTATAACTCTTTTAGCTGGATACAAGGTCACAGTTGTGAAAGTAACAAGAATGTATCTTTGATGACATTGACATAAATTTCCTGCAGGTTCTTGTCAGATAAAAAAAAAAGAACACCAGAAAGTGATGCCCCATGAAGAACAAATTAGATCCCATTTTGTGTCCCTTCACCTGTAGAGAAAGGTTTCAATGTCACTGAATTCTGCACTTGTGACTGTCACCCTACCCAAAACAAATAAAATCAGGCTGACGGTTATGTCCATAACTTTCCTGTTGAGCTGTTTTCTTTCCTGAATTTTATTTTGCTATGTTTATTTATTTATTTCAATAACTGTCCTTCAGTACCACAAAGCAGCTTTAAGACAGAAATACACTGTCATCAGACACCTCAAGTTTTCCCTAGGCACTGTCAGTAAAAGCACACCCTCAAAATTTATCATGGATGGGGCTCCTCCTGAGCTGGTGAGGCCAGAGGGAAAACTACGCCAAGGGCCGGTCACAGGAGGTCGCAAGCACTCACAGCTGGCCTTGGCTTCCATTTGAGGTACAGGCAGCCGAACCCTTGTAGGGGCAGCTGGACACTCCAGTGGTTACGTGGGGAAAGTAGACAGCTGTCTCTGCCTGCTTGCAGGACGAGAAACTGGCAGGAAGCAAAGGTGCTTTCTCCTGCTCAGACTGCACCCTGAACCCTTGTTGTCATTAAACATCCTTACTCTCCCAGGGAGAAGGGGAGGGATGGAGTGAAAGTAACTGACCTTCATGGAGGAATGGACTTACTGATACTGTGCTGGTCTGCAACCTGAGACCACTGAAACTCTGGGCCTTGAGAGAGGGAATTGCCAAAAACCCAGCCCAGCATGATTCAATAATGCAAACTAAGGCTCACACAGCTTCCTCTTCCTAACGTCATTCCTTCTCTCTGAAAGACAGTTTGCATGTTGCAACCCCATGGAAGCAGTGATCTAGACACCGAGAAAGCCTGCTGATGTTCGGCTATGCGTCAGCACAAGACAGAGGGACATAAATCAGACAAGGTGCAGGTAGTCAACTCACTTATAAAGACTTCTCCGAGGTTCTCCATTGTGCTCAAGCAGTGGCAAAAAAACCCCTATCCACCCAAAGACTGACACATCTTTGCTTCCCACTGACCTCAATATAAAACTCATATTTGGAGAACAGAACCCCAGGAGCCTGGCCTCATTTACACCAGTTTTACACAGTTATCTCCTTGAGAAATATCCCATCTTTACATAGGTGTTCCCAAGATCAAACCTGGCTCAGTCTGCATCTCTGAGCACCACCAACATCTAAGTCTTTCTTCACCCCAAAAAGGCCAACCTCAACATGGCTCGAAAGCTGCTTTTCCTCTCCCCCAGTTACTTACCACTGAAGACATAGTTTAAGAAGCTCACAAACAGGAGGGCAATGGCAGCCTCCAGATCCTTCACAAAATACATGAGCAAGCACCACATAAACTTTCCCTGCAATCCCACAGCTGCCGGGCCCTGACCAGGAAGTACCACCAACACAAGGGAAGTTTCCACAGTCCCCATTCTCTGGAGAGTTTCTGCTGCACTGCTATGGCTGAGCTGTTTGTTTAGGATGTCAAAGAGCTCCATGCTGGAAATGAGAGTACCACTCACAGCATACACTGCATTTGAGCTGGCACTGGCTTCTTCCTGTTTTCTAGCCCTTGCCATGACAGCTTAAAACAGTTTTAGTGTATGCCTTGTTTACAACATCAGCTCAGAAAAAAACCCCAGATTTAAGTTTGGTGACCAAAGGCTAACAGGCCTCACCTTGGTCATTAGCTGTCCAGGTGACTTGCTGAAGAATAAGGAAGTGCTGAAACAGAAAATGCCCAAGACCAATGGCTCAAGAGGAGTCTTGCTCCATTTCTCACCTGACAGACAACACTGTGCCCTGTGAACATATCACAGCACGCTAAACAGAAGAAATGTTCTCTATCCCAGACATTGTAAACTACTGCACTAACGTTACAAGTTGGAGCAAGGATGTGGTGCAGAAGTCTCAGACAGCCGTGGAGGCAGGATTACTCATTTACCACGAAATTCAGATGAAATTGTGCTACTTATATTGCTATGGGGCAAGGAAGGGAGAGAGACAGACTTTTACATTTCCAGAAGACTTGTTTTAGCAACTGATGACATATGGGGACAGGATTCTTGGAACTTCCCTTGGCTCAAGAATACAAAATCCTGTTCCCCCATATACCTTTAGTTCTCTGGCCACCCAGTCATCTGCTATTTAAAGCCCTAAGCTTTAAGTTCTTCTTGCCTAGTTCTCTGTATTGCCCTCTGCTGTTCCACATGGAACAAGATCGTCACTTCGGGAAACCATTTTCTATCAAGGTTGTCTGAACTGGCTCTGCCCTTCTCCTAGAGATTAGGTATGTCTACAGTCAGCGTGTTGAATTGAAATAAGTAGCTTATACAGGTGGAATTAGGGAAAGATAATGGAAATAAACAGCGGCTTGATATTTGAGGAGTTTCTGTGCACTGTTTCATTTGTGTTTATTAGCCTACAGGTGTCCTACAAGCTAAGGATACTTCAGCTGACTTGTTTTTTCACACCACCCTCGCATGTTTCTAAAAGCATGTCTCCTTTTGATCACATGGCAGCAGGTACTCACTTGCTTACACACAGAGCAGTGTTACAAGTGACTGTGCTAAACACATGCTGGACAGGTGAGCCCTGCAATATTGTCTGCGGCTGTACAGCCATCACCCCACCCACACTGTCTCCTTTCTCTCAGCATAACCCCAGCTTTGGCCCTACTCAACACTTGGCCACTTCCAGATGAAGGCTTGCTCTTTCTCTACTCCATCTCCACCCCTCTGAGCTCAGCAATCAGGAATACAGAGGAAAACTTCTGGTCATTTGTGCTTGGGATGAGCAAACAACCAGCCCACACTGTCCAGCAGCATGAACGCTAGGTTACATGAGGACATGACAGCAGAGCCCACATACCACTGCTGGGCTATGAGCACTTCAGATATGACTGACTCTGCTCAGGAGACTGAAATATAAACAGCAATTTCTGGGAGGAGTGGCTCCATCCAAATACTCCCCCATCTTAGTCACAGGTTAAAATAAATAAATAAACAAACAAAGCTGTACTAATCTCCCAATTGGCCTGCTCACAGTCATGTAACCGGTGTCAGCCTTCACCCTGAGATGAAATATGGACCCAAAGACCAGGTCCCAGCTTCATGGTGCTCCAATGGCTCACACAGCAGCCCCTAACTGGGATGGCAAGGACTTCAGCTTGTGGTGTAAGGGAACACCCACCTGGCAGACAGCAGAGCCCAGATGTACACCACCTGCTCCCGGCTCCATCACACTTACATAAGGGAAATACTGAGGGAGCCAGGACACATTTAACCCAGAGATCCTCACGTGACCAAGTGGATCCAAAGCGAAACAGAGCAGACTTGGGTCTGCTTTCCATTCCATGCAAAGCCACATCTGGGAAGCAAAACAAACAGGGGCAACTGCACAACAGGGACCCGAAGAAGCCGGAGAACAGGACTAAGGAAGTAGCTGCCTCTTCCCCTGTCCTTTAGTGAATGAGAATAGCTATGCTGGGAGCCAAGAAGGCACATTGGGGCAGTCAGTCTAGACCTGCTCTGCTTCTTGTCCTCTTTCCCCCAGCATCTGCTGCTGGCCCCTGTCAGAGGCAGGATGAAGAGCTAAGTGGACCTCACATCCGGTACAGCACAGCCATTTGTACTCCTCTTCCTTGTGAGTCTGGCCAAAGCTCCTGCGTGTGCATGAAAGACGATCCCAGCATTAAATATATTCCTTCTCTTGGTCCAAAATAGAAATGGCTCCTCAGCCTACAACATCAACAGGCTATGTTAAAACATTTAAGTATAATCAGGAATGCAGCTGGAGGTCTAAGCATGGGGTAAGAAAACACCAGCATATATTTTAACAGGAACTATCCCAATGGGCTCTGAAAGCTACCTACAGTATATCTGCCTGTTCCTAATTATATTTACTGGTGGTAGTTGGCCTTTTTTTTTCCAAGCTGAAGATGAGTCAGAAAAAGAAAAAAAAGTCCTTTATTGTTGTGGAAGCAGAAGGATGTCTCCTGAGGGTGTATGTAATGCACTACTGTCACGGCATGACAATGGAAAAACTGACTGCTGAGCCAACCAAACCCCCATAAATACCTAATGATATCTCTCCTGGCCCAGATTTTCTACAAGTCGGTGCCTGAACTGCATACAAAATGACAATCGATATGAAAGGATCTTTTTTCTCAACAGAGCCGGAATTTAAGAGCCCAGCTTAGCATTATATTCCAGTTCATACAAAGACATCCTTTTAAAGGTCTGTCACAATAACTTAAAGGTGGTGATCCAGCAAAAAAAACTGCTAGGCCTCTCCTCACCCTCTCCTCCACACCTCCAGCCATTAGCACAAAGAACAGCTGGCTTCAGCGAACAGACATCATTATTAATTACAACATGGAGACAAAAACAATGCATGCCTAGGTATGTTATTGGGTCTGCATTCATGTGGGATGAGAACAAAATTTTCTTCCTTCTCTTCTTCTTCTTCTCTTCCTGGCTTGAGTAGCTCTGCCACCTCGTGTACTTGGCTGGGGAGGCGGCCATGCCAAGCACCTGGCCCAGTTACAGGTATGTGCAGAGGGAGCCCGTTGTGAGAAAACCCAGCCTTAGCAAATTTCTCTGGCAGTCAGCCAGCCTCCGCACATTGGGCAAGTGACTCTCCCCGGCCGCAGTTACATCAGTCACCACCACCTCCCTCAATGTCATGGCACGGGAAGCAGCTGCCAGGGGAGAGAGAGAGGCAGCCGCTGGCTTTTGAAACAGGCTGTCCAAAAAACATTACAACACCCTTGCTGGTTTCCAGTGCGTTTGCTCAGTTCCTCCTTTCCCGTGAAGACCACACAGGCTTTGCGAGGGTGTTACACCCTGCTGCAGAAAGGCGGTCTCTGGGGCCCGCTGCTCCTGGCAGCCGCTCCGCAGCACTGTGATTCCCCCAACTTCCTCCAGACACTCTCCCAGTTTCCACTGAGGGCAGAACCAAACTCAAAAGCTGGTATTTAGGGGAAAAAACATAGGTATTTTCTTTCTTTTTTTTCCAGAGGGAGATTCTCCATGCTGCTCTGCCTCAGCACAAGTGGGAGGCAGGGCTGGAACTTGGAGCAGATGGAGAAGCCCCACACAGTTCCACTCCCTCCTCTCACCTGCCTCTCCTCTGCCTGCTCTAGTCCCTCATGCCCTGCCGTACTTGCATGCCCTAAGCTGCCCAACGCAGCCCTTGTGGGAGACCGGTATTCCCTGCCTTCCCAAGCCAGCAGCAGGTCACAGGGGCCTAGGCAGGGACTGCCAGCCCTGGGAGTGCAGGCAGGCTGGAGGACCACTGCCAGCAGGGCCAACAGCCAGATTCTGCTCTTGGCTACTGCCCCAGTAAATTTAGTAAATTTAGAGTGACCCCCTAGCACTGACTGGGGATTTGGTCTTTGCAAGTGGTCAGAGCAGACCTTGGACAAGGGATGGCACTTCAAGACAATCATCTGGGGCATGGTGTAAGCAAAATCACCCTATAAAAGAGAGCAAAACTGGCAAATAAAAGTATTGCTCCTGGCAGGCAAGTACTTCCATATTGATTCAACACTTAAAAAGGCACTGAAGTGAGGATGTCCTTGTTTCAAACCCTCCAGCAAATTCACTTTCGCTTTTGGCAACCTGCTGTCTTCTCACCCCTCAACTCCTTCCCCATGACTGCAGCAGCACCTTCCTCCACTGCTGAACCCCAGTAGCCTCTGTACTGCCTCCCCTCGCTCCCTCCTCTGCTTAGCTTCCTGCTTCAAGTCCTTCTAGAGCAGAAGCAGAAAATTTTGCCTGACCACCCTGGCAAAAGCAGGGAGAAATGCTTGCTGAAGTCCACCAGGAAGCTGTCACCCATGCAGGCATTGCAGCTGAGCCTTGGGCTGCGAACCTGCCCCCTCAGCCCTGTCTCTCCCGGGACACAGAAGCCCATAAGGGACTGCAAGCTGGCCAGATCAGGGTAGTTTTTCTCCAGTCAGAGGCTCTGGAAGGATTATTTGGCTGCAACATATCATATGACTTTGTTCTTAGAGTTACATTTTAACTGAGAAAGTTTAACAAGTATGACTTATGGGCTTCTAAAATTGGCAGTAGAAAAATGAGCTGAGGAAGTCATGGAAAAAAACCACAAGCGAGGCCATTCCATGTTATGCACAATTTCTGGGCTCTTTTTCCAATCTTCTGGTTTTTTTGGATGGTGGAAAATATTTTCCAGCTACACAGGCCTGGCTTCACTGAGTATGTATTTATGCCAAGTTTATAAAAAGCAGCTGCAGACATGGTTGAATGAAAGGATTACACTGCTGTCTGTCCTCCAGAAGGTGCTTCAGTTCACACCCTGTCCCACAGAGTGGGCTCGCTTCTCAGATCTCCATGAATTTATGTAAAGAAGGACAGAATTTGAACCGTACAATACAAACTATGGCTGTGCACACAAATGGGCACCATTACCACCATTCCTCCAACCTCTCCCAACCCTAGTCCACCTTCCATGAATACAACAATGGGGAGTGGGCTTTCAGGGTCGAGCCCCTGGTCTCAGTGTATTTCTGCTGCCTGCTTCACATGTACCTGCTCTCCAGCTGCTCCCACTGAAATTCAGGCTTCACCAACCTCACGTACTCTCAGGCTGCCAGGCTTTAAGGCTAGAAGGGATTTCTGTGAACATGCAGCCTGATCTCCTCCACAGCACACTGCCACTGAATTTCAATCAGGAATCCAGGCAGCAGAGGCATAACCTTAATTTTCAGCCGTGCCTTGTCACAGCCTTGGCCTGATACACTACTCACAAGAGGAAAGTCACAAATAATTCTTCACTCTCCTAAACAGAATAGCTCCAGGGGCAGGGGGGGGAAGGACACAAGCTGAAAGTAAATGCATATAAAAAGGTAAGGTAGGTGGTAAGCTGCAGATTGTGCATTACAGAT